TAAGTGAACAAGGAAGCCAGTTTAAAACATCTATGATATTTACAATCGAAGAAGAGAAGGCGCTTGTTGAATATCTTATAGCTTGCAGCAACATGAATTATGGATTAACCAGACAGGCGACTATGCAGCTAGCATATGAATATGCAACAATGAATTCCAAAAAGGTTCCAGATTGTTGGACTTCCAACAACTGCGCAGGAAAAGATTGGTTCCGGGGATTTATGACAAGAAACCCTGAACTAAGTTTGAGAACCCCAGAAGCCACCAGTTTATCCAGATCAACCAGCTTCAATAGAAAAAACGTTACTGATTTCTTCGAGAACCTCAAAGAAGTTAGAGAAAAATACCAATTTGAAGCACATAACATCTATAACTGTGATGAAACAGGGTGTACGACTGTACAAGAGTGTCCCAAAGTAATAGCGAGCAAGCATATGCGTCAAGTAGGACAAGTTACTTCAGCTGAACGCGGCAGCCTTGTGACCGTTTGCTTCGCTGTGAGCCCTCTGCGAAATGTTCTTCCTCCATTTTTCATTTTCCCTAGGGTTAGATACAACGAATGCTTTGTAGCTGGTGGGCCTCCAGGCTCACATGGTGACTCCTATCCTAGTGGATGGATGACAACCAAGAGTTTCGTAAAATTCATGGAGCATTTTGTGAAATATTCGAACGCATCTCTTAATAACCGAGTCCTGCTTATCCTCGACAACCACGAAAGTCGTATCAGTGTTGAAGTCGTTAAATATGCAAAATCAAATGGAGTCACTTTGCTGAAAGCTACAGCCATTAGATGTTTCCGTCTATTCATCTTTCAAGACTAGATATAATTCAGCCATGAATAACTGGATGATCAGTAACCCAGGACGAACTGTTACGATCTACAATATACCTGGATTTGTAAACACAATCATGTCGCAGGCTTTTAGTCTATCCAATATTTTGAGTGGATTTCGATCAACTGGGATACACCCCTATAACCCGGACATCTTTACAGATGACGACTTTTTATGCTCTGCGGTAACAGATAGAGAAATGACTAGTGAACTCCAAAAGCAAGATGTTTCTTCGATTACTTCACCCTCGGTCGCTGCAAAAGTACCATCAGATTCAACCACGGTCGCATTACCTTCAACATCTACTGTACGTCAGTCAGAGCCTTCAACATCAGCATCAGTAGTCACGAATGAAACTGCAGCTCCTAGAATCAATTCACCATCAATTTTGACTGCGGAAGAATCCGAGCAAGCAAATACAATACCAAGACGATCAGCAGAGATAGCTTCTACATCTAATGTTCTGGATATGACAACGGTAGATTCTGATTCCGGACACACACCAAAAATAGTTTTACCACAAACAATTCGACCATTTCCAAAAGCTACTTCTAGAAAAAGTCTTCGTCGTGGTAGACAGCCCGGAAAAACTAAAATTTTAACAAAAACGCCAGAAAAACTAGACCAAGATGATAAGTATGCACCGAAAAATAAGAAAATTAAAATAACTACGAAAAGGCAAACAGGCAAAGCAAAGAAAAAGACAGTAAAAAGACAAGTTTTACAGTCAAGTGACAGTGAGACAGACCTTGACGAAGAACCCAAGTATGATGATAGTTCTGATAGTCCCTGGGATGAAGTACCAGATGTTACTGATAATTGGTTTTGTTTCATCTGTGGGGAATACAAAGTTATGGACATGAGACTTTGTGCTGTTTGTGGCAAATATGTCCATGAAATGTGTGTTGGACTATCCAAAGACGATAAGGAGCAGTTTATTTGTCCCAATTGCTCCAATTAAAAAAGTAAGACTGATGAAGGTTGTTATTATCTTTGCTCTTAATTTTGAGAGTTATTTTAATTTTTGTTTTACTGACAACATACAAGGTTTTTAAGTTTAAACTACTTATAAGGTTGACTTCCTGTTTCTGATGGAGAGTATGACTATTTTATAAGTAGATTTTGTTATCTTGTTATGTATTATTTTATTTTTGTTCTTAATTTTGAGAATAACTCTAATTTTTATTTTGCCGACAACGTACAAGATTCCATACCAAAAAATAATTTGTATTACCTACTTTTAAGCTTTAACTACTTATAAGGTTTGTTACCTAGTTATGTGAAAGATGGAGTAGGTTCAGGTAATACTATGTGCCATATTTTTTTAATTAAATTTATAGATTTACAATGTGTAATGATTATTTTGCCTAATCCTAAAGTGGAGGGTAAAGGCTCCCTACTCGAGGGGTCAAGTCTCCCACCCATGCGGGAGATATTAGCCGAATGTCACCTTGGCAGAAATCGTTGATAACTCGTAAACTCTTAATGCTACATTAAGCTTTCTTGAGAAAAAATGTAGCTAAATAATGCGTTCTAAGATATAATTTATCGGAAATGAAGATTTGTAAGCGTGTAAAGACTTAAAAGCATTTTAGTGGAAGGTGGGTATACTCTCCCGGACTCCCCCTACTTTGAAGGTCTTAAGACAGAAACAACCCCAGTACTTCAATGCAGAAGGAAAACGGGTTTCCTGGGATTTTTGATTTGTATGGCTAGTTTACAGCAATTTTATCTAGAATATGTCATTGAATTCAAATACTTGAATTACATATTGACATACAAGCTGTCCCAAGACCATATTGAGCTATTTTTTAGCGCAGTGCGTAGTAAGGGAGGATGTAATAATAATCCAACTGCTCGACAATTTGAAAGTATTTTCAAGAGATTACTTTTGCATTGTGACATTAAGGGCTCCAAGTATGGAAATGTTGTTTCACTGGACAACACTAGTATTCTAGGCACTACATATATCAACACTTTGACTAAAACTAATTGTGGCAACATTCTTTCAGAGAATGATGATTATATGGAGAATACTACAGAAGTTTTAATATTTGGTAGTTGTTCATTACATCTGTGGCAGCTAACTCCGTATGTCTGTGATATTGTCGCATACATATCTGGCTTTGTGGTGAAAAATTTGAAAAAGTGTGTATCTTGTCATGAATGCCTGCTGCTAATGGAATCCAGTGAAACACGTTCTTTGTTGCAAAAAAGGAAGCAATATGGCAACTTAACACGAGCTTCTAATTATGTTATAAAAGTCTGTGAAGAAGGGGAGAGGTCTGTAAGGTCCTTGAAAGCCATTTCCAGCATATTTAGCAATAAACTTGGAAACATCGAAAAATACTTAGTAAGCTATACACTAAGGAAGTTAAATACATCAATATTTGAAGTATTTGGTGACCATGTTCTAGATGATAGCTTCGAAAACAATCATTCACTGCAGCTGACAAAGATGATTTTGGCTAAATACATAAGGCTAAGGTTACACCACGAGTCAAATTTAGCATCAGAATTTGGTAGACGATACAGAAGTGACCTCACAAAAAGCATACTATTCAGAAATCAGTAAAACTTTGATATGATTTTTCTCTACATTTTGTTATTTTCATCTCTGACCTTTCAACCTGTTAGAACGCCTCAGCTGAGTTTACGTGATTCAGATCATTCGAGATGATCAAAATAAATTAAAGAAGTCAATGATTTGTGTTTCTTGTGAGATGAATGGGACTTGAAGCCAACTTTTCTCCCATTCTTTTTTTGGGGGGGGGGGCACCATCACCGATACCTTTTTTCTATGGGACATCATCATCATAAAACCTTCCACTTTGAGGGGCACCAACATTACTTTTTGGTGAGGGGAACCAACATCGCCTTTTTGAGTGCTATGATCATTACACCAACATTGCACTTGTACATGGGGCACAGTCATCACATCATTTCACCACCAGCGCATGGGACCATCCCTGTTTTAAACTCAGATTTGTCCACTCTTTGCGAGAGTAGATCAAAAGATAAATCATTCTTTTCATGTGATTCTTACCTCAATTTTTGCTTATTGTTTGGGGTTTTTTTCTAATATTGTTTGAATTTTACAACCTTGTTTTATTTGTGCTCATGCTGCTATCGTTCTTTACAATTACAACATCAACTCTACCCTGATCTCTCATATCCTACTACTGAGCAACCAAGAGCTATAAGTATGAGCTTACATATGGCATGCTGCCTCATCTTTTTCTTGGGGTATGTGTGAGGTTATAATGTGACTGCGTTCAAGAGTAAATTTTGTCTTTTTATTCTTTTGAAATTTTGTACGCGCCTCTTATACTGTTTAATATAGATTTAATATGTTTGGATAAAGTAGCTACATAGGGGTAAATTATTTATTGTATTGTGTATATCATATTTCTATTAAAGACGTTTTATTATTATTATAATAACTGAATTAAAATATTTCAAACATTTGTTGTTTAATTATCCCATTACCTGTATCCACTGTTACTGTTTTATAAAAATTATAATAAACCTACAGAAACCCAAATCCTCTTAAATACACTGCATCAGAATATGTTCTTTTGGGACTAGCTTGAGATGCTACCAAATATAACTGAATGTACCCAATAATTTAGAGTGACTGCACACTGCCAACTTTTTAGTTTCGGTGGAAACATTGCATTCCTTGCAAGGGAACATTTTATTTTATGGCATGCTGGCTCTAAACTTTGGATATTGTTCATGAACATTGTCTATTTAAACAACTCGTTCTTAGTTGTGAACTCGTTCAAGTCAATATCGGGATAATGATTACATATTGTACAACTTGCAAATTTTTCTCGCTTGAAATCGTGAAAATCCGAAACACGGATATTTTGGGTACATTGAAGTGCAATGAGATTCTGTATGAATGAATTGGTAACCTACTTAAACAAAATATTGATACGCCTATGGAAAATGAATGTCAATAGTCGAACGTTTGTTTACAAAACAGTCATCACCTGTCCCCTTGCACCCCTGAAGCGGTTACAAACAATGACACGTATACATGCGTAGTCTATCCTTATGAAGTCGTTGTTATAGACAATGCACCATACCATAGTAATGAGAATCAGGCACCAACTACAGCATCCAAAGAGGAGGATATTAAGAAATGGTTCAGCATTAATGAAATTGATTTTAATCCTGACATGTTCAAAGCACAACTACTTCAGAAGGTACAGGAATACAAACCGCCTATAAGACAATAGCGGAACAGTATGGACATAAAGTATTGTTATTACCGTCCTATCATTACATTTTTAACCCTATTGAGAATGTTTGGGGCATAGCAAAGTACTACTACAACAATCATGTGGGTCGAAATGGCAGAACTGTAGAGCGCTGCATCAATGTATGGCGAGAAGCTTTAGAAACTTTTAGCCGAAATTTTTTCAAAATGTTTACATACTGAAAATGAAATTCAGAGATGGTCGGAAAGAGAAAAATATCTAGAACAAACTGACATTTTACCAATTATTATAAATGTGAATACGGAAGATGGTGATAGCAATTCAGAGTTCTACTGACTAGAACTTTTTTCAAATAAAATATATCTTGTCACTATTCTTTATACGCAAATCTTTGTTCTGAGAATTTTGTATAATAAATACTATGAACAAATTTCATTTAAATATTCATTTTTCTTATAGCTGTTTTAGAACTTAAATTATAAAATTGTAATAAAGTTAAAATATGGTTTGAGTGGGTAGTAGAACATTCAAGTATCTATTTTGAAATGTTTTGTTATTCCTTTCCCTGTAGCCCATTTTTTATATTATTTTCCAAAAGTAAGCTAATCTGCTAGTCACTAACACGCACGATACTGTAATGTTGGTTGCGGTCAGTCCCTGTCACTAGCTCCAGCATTTACAAAACATACTCTCTGTAATGTTGGTTGCGCTCTGTAATGTTGGTTGCGGTCCGCCACTGTCGCTAGCTCTAGCCTAGCGTTTACAAAACATACGATGTGAGATGTTGGTTGCGCTCTGTAATGTTGGTTGCGGTCCGCCTCACTAGCTCTAGCATTTACAAAATATACTCTCTGTAATGTTGGTTGCGGTCCGCCACTGTCGCTAGCTCTAGCCTAGCGCTTACAAAACATACGATGTGAAATGTTGGTTGCGCTGTGTAATGTTGGTTGCGGTCCGCCTCACTAGCTCTAGCATTTACAACATATACTCTCTGTAATGTTGGTTGCGCTCTGTAATGTTGGTTGCGAGTGATGCTGGTCGACCCCGAGTCTATCCTCCTGAAGATGAAGAGGAGATCCTTTGTGTGTTTCACGAAGACCCTACTACGTCTACGCGCATTGTGGCTGCTCAGTTGGGTATATCACAATACAAAGTATGGTTTACTGTGCATACTGCAAGATTATACCCTTATCACTACACGGCTGTGCATGTGATTGAAGAGGGCGATCTTGCAAGACGATTAGATTTCTGCAGGTACATGTTACATGCAGATACAGAAGATCCAGACTATTTTAAGAAAATTCTGTGGACCGATGAATCGAAGTTTGATAAGGACGGGATCACTAACTACCATAATGCTCATTACTGGGCTGATAAAAAAGCTTCAACCCCCGAAAAATAAGACCGACGGGGTCTCAGAGCCGGTTTTCAGTCAGTGTGTGGATGGTCATCATTGAGGGATATTTAATTGGACCTCATTTTCTGCCCGCCAATTTAAGTGGAGAATTGTATGAAGAGTTCTTGAAAAATGACTTGTTTCCATTAATGGAAGACGTCCCATTGGCGACAAGACAAAATATGCGGTTCCAGCACGACGGCTGTCCCGCACACTACAGTAGATTAGTACGGGCGTATTTAGACTCTAAATTTCCAAATTAATGAATTGGCAGAGGCGGGCCCATTGCCTGGCCAGCAAGAAGCCCAGATCTCACACCGATGGATTACTATGTGTGGGGACATATGAAAAGCCTGGTGTACGATGTTTCGCCCGTACCGACGCGCGATGAATTAATTACAAGGATAATCAGTGCAGCTGACCAAATAAAAAGCCGCTTAACAACTAGAGTTACCAAAAGTGAATTACGTAACAGAATGCGGGCGTGGATTCGTAACAGGGGATTACAATGTGAGCAGAATCTGTAAAATACCAGAAGAAATGTAATTAAATAAAACTGTAATTAAAATAAAAGCCTTTTATTTATCCTACGTAATTATCGTTCGTACAACTTTACTCATCTTTTTTAATTTTATTTCTTTGTACCTGAGTTAGTTGTAACTTTTATACCTCAAATGAAAGCTTGTTAGATAGAGATATTATTTACATAATTTGCACATTTCATTACTTGGAGATTTTTTACAGAAAATTGCATTTTTTATCGAATAAGTTAGTGAAACAATAAGAAAATCATTTCAAAAGCGTAATTTTAAAACATTTGTAAGTTTTCAACATTTTATTACTTATAATGATCTATTGGAATGTCCGCTATGCGACGATAACAAAAAACTCAAAATCAAACGTAGTTTTTTCGTATTTCAAATTTAACCGTCTGAAATCGGAATAAAAAATAAAAAAAATAAAATTCAAATAACTCAAAAACGGTTAACTTCTGGATAGGACATTATAGGACAACATCGGTTGCTTTTGACCTAATCTATCACCCCTTAATAGGAATACGTGACATTACAAGTTTATCAAAGAATATAAGCATTCTGTAGTTTTATTTATGCCCTCAAAGAATTTAATAAATACAGTTTTGTACAGCAACAGTGAGCCTCTCTAATTATCAATAAAATGGTCAGTAATGGCGTCATGTCAATCTATTGTATCAGGTTTGATCCAATCCCATAAGCCACAAATCCTTTTTGATTGACGCAATTTGCATCGACTTTTGTGTCCGGACACAAATAAAATTTGGTCTTTGTAGCTAAGCATTTTTGTTTTAATATGGGATTTTACCCAAGTAGTTTGAGAGACATCTAGAAATCGACCAGATTCATTAGATCCATAACTTTGCTACATAGGCCTAAATTTTTATTTTCGCCTGGCGTTGCAGGGGCGCACCTCCAAAACGAGTATTTTTTCGACAACCATTAAAGAAGAAAATAGCTTTAACATAGTCCAAGAAATCAGCCTTTTGAATTTCACCGCATGTTTTAGAGGCATCCTGTATAATTTCCAGGTCTTCCCAAGTTAATCTGCTTGTCACACGAAAACATCTTCGTTCAAACCGTCACGTTCCTGGAGTTACTAGGCCAACCAGAAAAGGTGATTTCATTCTTCCCGATATCCTGGTTCTTACAGATGATCCTCGTCTGTGTCACTCTCGAAAGACCGGTTACCAGAATAATTCCAACAACGTTCACAGAAAGAAACGCATGTAAAATCATACACGATTTCAGCATAAAGCATGCTATTCTAGGCACAGATTATGCGATGAAGATGGCTAACAGTCCAGCTGTCAAGGTAGGTATATTTGCTCTCTCCAAGTTATCAATTGACAAAACATATGCTGATTGCTCGTGATTGCTCGTCCTGTCGTTTGTTTGGGCATTTTTATTAATTTGTGACAATTTTATGTAGACCTGTAAAGATATAAATAATTCTTCTATAATTTATTCTATAATTGGTGGAACACGAAATTTGTTTCATTGGCATCGAAGGCTAGCAATTGCTGCGTATTTACTTTTAAAAAAAAAAATTATACATCGACAGTTATGAAAACTTTAAGTACAGAAGACAGCAAGAAATGAGATTTACAGATGAAAACAAGAAATAATACAAACTACACTGAGAAATCGTGGACAATTAAACATTGTTCTGGTAAATTTTGATTACCTGTAATAAATTTTTCAATTAGACTAAGTAATTGTATTATTCGGTTTAAGTAAACTGAATTTGCTGGAACCAGTTAATATACTATTACACTAATAGCAGACAGAACTCGGCTCTTCATTCGTGAATGATGAAATACTCAAACATAAGGCGCTTAGTAACCCATAATCATGGTTCTGGATCAAAATGAAACACTATGTATTGGGAAATCACTGCTGACGTGACCAAATCGAAATTTTGTTTGATGTATATAGTACGAGTATATTGCAGTATTTGAAAATATCCTAGTTTGTTTAAAGTGCCGTCAAATTGATTTATATAAGTAAATGCAAGGAATTCTTGTACACATGATGAATTGACCTTAGGTTTTAGGTATCCTTTTCCTACTTTCTGAATTTAAAACAAAGAATTGCTTCTAGTGAACGGTTTCTGGACAAACGACAAATAGTTGATAAAACTTGATCCCATTATATAATAAGTTCACAATGGAAATAAAAGTATCGAATTTTGTTAGGGTTATAAGGTTCGGGAAGTTTTGATTATGATTTGAAGGCAATATCAACTATCAATATCGTTCTAATTTTTTTTTCAAATCTAAGATATGTCAGAGCACAGTTAGGATATACAGCATTCGGTAAAATGCAATTTTTATACAAATATCCTTTTAAATCTAAATAAAATAATTTATTAGAACTAGACAAACACTTTTATCTGGATTAACAAAACAAATTTAATAAATATACTAAAATAGTTTTACATGGAGCAGGTAAACTCATTTTACTAGTCCATTAATTTTAAATAAATTAGTGTAATCAATCTAAGTAAGCAGCTTGATAAATTTAACTTAATTTAACGATTGCGTTTTGGTTTAATCAATCTAGTTTCATAGAGATTTAGAAATCGAAGTTTCATTAAACCAATTAAACTTGTTAATGGGCCTGATTAAAATGTTAATTGATTTGCTTCATTTGTTTTTCAGTGTACATACCCCTGCCGTTTCGTGATATACAGGGTCTCCAAAAAGTATGGATGCAATAAGATTTCTTGAAAATCATGAGTCATAGAAAAAATCTTGAATTGAGGTTTGAATGGAATTGATAATTATTAATACAAGGTCTGACAAGGACGAAAAAATAGTTCCTAGCGAATATAAATGGCTGTATTAAGTGTATATTCAATTTATGGGATGCATGATTGCAAAACTATACAATTTCATAGGAATATAGACACCACTAGGACAAGAGAAGCTAATCTTAAATTGAGAATTTTGAATAACTATGCAAAGTTACAAGTGTCACACTCCCTGCAGTCGCATGCATACCATATAGTTTGTGTTTTGAATTCTTTATTTAAATTTGTGACCATGCCGTATATTCCAAGTTTTGACAAAATCAACACAGTTGATACTGAGATAACGCAATGACAAAGAGGACAGCACGACCGTTGGAAAAACGTCAATCAGTGGCATGAGAGCTAAAAAGTAAAGTCGCAATATGTTTGAACAAATGATATCCATCATCTGTTGTGTATGCCATAAAAATAATAATGATATGAATCACCTTGTATAAATACAATTACTCGATGCCATTGCAAACAACAGTATCCCGTATGAAGCTATAAAAAAGTGCGGGACGTCTTCCCGAAAGGCAACAAAAAATGATACGAATTCTGTGAAAAATATCGACATATTTAGAAGTTCAAAGGTTTTTTTCGAGTGCCCTTCCACTGGTAACTCTGCATTCTTTGGCAAAATATACTAGATCATGTATGAAAAAAAAAACGCAAATAGATAGATAATACCGGCATATTGGCCTTTGATACATCAGTAACTATAATTGTTTAGCTTTTTAGAAGAATGTAATTGTAGCAATCATGCTAAATAAATCTTAAACAACAAAAAGTCACATTCTGTTTTCTTTTACTCTACAGGATTACAACCTGAACTGTCTCAGAGTCGTAATGATAGGGACGGTGAACACAATGAAGCATGACGTACAGACATTAAGACAACTTATGCCCCACGTAAAGTTCCTTCAGTGCTACTGCCTTACAGAAACCGGTTGCATAGCTGCTACTAGGGCCGATAGCTACAGTAAGAGCATAATAAAGCCTCAGACTGCTATTGGTCCTCTTACCATGAACTGTCGGATCAGGATCGTTGATCCAGAAACTAGAAAAGGGGTGGGGCAAAACTGTTATGGAGAGTTATTGTATACTGGAGATGGATTCATGTTAGGGTGAGTAGTACTATTTTACGTCAATCTTGCAATGGAGATAGCACCATTTCTTGAACGCTGCTCACAGACAGCGCCATGGACCTGAGCTAGAAGCAGAACATTCTCCAAGAGGAATGTTTTGCTCTCTGCTAACCCTGGACAGATCAAAGCATATCAGCAGAATTTCTTCAACTTCTTTAGAGCATCCACTGATCTGCAAGATTCTATTGTTTTATTAGGAAGTATTGTAATCGCGAAAAATTTCGAAAGTGAGAGATAGCGTTTTTTTTTATATGTTACATCACAGAAAACTGTCATTCATGTCCGTCTCTCTGTCTTGTCGGTCTGTCAATAATCCTTGACTGCAAGTGCCACTGGGCTTCGATGAAATTTTGAAACAAGGTTACTACCGTGCCAAAGACAATAAAGCTTTGTTGCTTTGAAATCTTATCCAACCAAACAAAATTAAAATCGCTGAAATTTGGTTTGCCGACGCTTCATAAACAATTTTGAGGGGGCTCAAAAGTTACGGGTTGTAGTTGTAGAGAATGGCGAATTGTAAATGTTGCATCTTTGGTATCAGTCAAGCACGTCCTATTATTAAGATGCTACAAATCACGGTTTAACACTATGCACGTGTTAGACATAAATTCTACAAAACTATTTGATTGACAGAAGTCAAAAAACCAAAAATGGATCTACATTATCAAGATGAAAAAATATTTCGGGTATACCACAAGCTGGTAAACTAGGTCCACTTCTATTTATTTTATACATTAATGACGTTTGTAATATTTTAGATTATTTTAAAATTCAGATATTTGCAGATTATACATTAATATACATAACAGATGAAAATATAGACACTGCTTTAAAAATGCTAAATTCTGACTTGGCAAAAATCGTAAATGTGTTAAATGTAAATAAACTAAAATTGAATACTTCTAAAACAAATTGTATGCTAATAGGGAAATACCTAAATGAAAATACTATCACAGTTAGAAAAATGGTGAAATAATTGAAAATATTGAATCAACTAAATATTTAGGTATATATATATATATATATATATATATATATATATATTGATAGTAAACTAAAGTTTGAGGATCACTATGATTACATTATTCCAAAAATTGTCAAAAAAACAAATTACTTTTATAGGGCTTCTCATAGTCTTGGTACATATTCCAAGAAAATAGTTTATTTGTAATAGTTGTTCACTGCCAATGAAGCTATATTATCAAAATTAAGTCCAGAAAAATAAAGCTATGAGAATAATGTTGAATATAAATAAGTACACCATAATAAAATCTATGTTATAGTGGTTGAATATAAAAAATTTCATATCATATTTGGTACTTATTTTTATATTTAAAATATAAAATCATCTTTTGCCACAACATTTGGAACACTAGAGAATTGAAAAATCATTACCACGATTATTATACAAGAGCAAATATAGATTTTCATTTACAAAATTGCAATAGGTTACTTGAATTAAATAAAATAAGTAATGATATAAAGTCTACTTGTAATTCAAAGATGTTTAAAAGAAAAAAGAATATTTCTTAGAGATGCAAATTTTGTTTTTTTTTTTTGTAAATATCCGTAATGTAATTGTTTAGTTTCTTAGAAGAATGTAATTGTAGCAATCTTGCTAAATAAGTCTTAAACAAACAAAGAATAATGTACTACTTGGAGACAAACACGATGCACGCTATGATAGACACGTTCAGTGAAAGACGAATACTAGCGGAAATGGATATAGCAGTAGCAGCAGCTGCCTATATTTATATACACTACGAATTATTCAAAAACAAGCGGCGACGACGTCCGAGACGATGGTGGCAAACGCAGTTATATACCAATAGACCAGCACACGGTTGCAACAATTTGATAGTGGAATTGAAATTCCAGAAGTAAGTGGATAGTACACGACGGACTTTGAATATCTTCTCGCGTTGATTGGAACAAAAATACAAAGACAAGATACAATATGGAGAGCTGTCATCATAGTGCAAGACTTGCAGTATCGGGGCGATTTTTGGCGACCGACGATTTATACAGTAGTTTGCAATACATATGCAACTTCGTCGCGAGCCATTCCTTTGACGTTGCGCTGAAAAAGAGATAGAGTCTGGATCGGGCCGAACGGCGAGCTGTAACGCTAATCGGATTCGTGACGGCCGGCGATCTCTACACCGACTATACTAGCGCGGCGCGGTTCGTCGCGTGGTTCGGTTTGCAGTGTTATTACATATCTGTACATGGCTTAACACAATATTCTTAGGGTAGAAATACTCGTGCAGGTCAGACTAAATTAAGGTGGATAAATTTAATGCTGAAAAGTGTGTAGTTCAATAATATAACGATTTATTGCAGTATCGTCAATCGTTCCTACAACTATGGGACGCCTTTATAGCATCCTTGATTTTCATAGCTCTCTACTGTTCTGCATCAGCGCTCTATTTTGAGGTTATGTTACAAATATCTATTTGCATCAAATTGTTCATGCTTTTGATATACATTGTATAGGCCGAAATTTCCTACCAGGGAAACATAGCCTCACAATAGGAGAGCGCTGGCACGGCCCAGTAGACATCTAGAAATACAGATTTTCTAAAGGAGAGAAAAACATATGAAAATCAAGGAGACCATAAAGGCGTCCTACAATTGTAGGAACTACTGACGATACAGCCCTTAGCCTGTGAGAAAATGGATATCATGGATATGTGAATATACTAAACATTTGTCAGAAGAATACGCTTCAAAGTTATGCTATGAACAGTATGTTCTAACAACATGCCTTATTAGCATATCTCTTCTAGGATCTAAAACGTACATTCCGGAAATATGAATATCCCTTTCCATGTTTACCGGGTATTATGAGAACGACTTTCATCGTATCATGACTTAGGTTGATTGCAGGTATTTGAAGCAACCTGATAGGACCAAAGAGTGCATGGAGAAAGGTTTCTTCAAGACAGGTGATCTCGGTATGGTCGACGAGGATGGTTGGTTATACGTAAAAGGCAGGATAGACGATTTAATCATAATCGACGATTTCAAGTTCTGCCCCTTAGATCTTGAAGAGGTTATCGTGACACATCCTGCCGTCAAGGAAGCAGTCGTCATCGGAAATGATAAAGAGATCATTGCACTTGTCAAGAAACTCAATAAGGATGTTTATTTGTCAACTAATAAGTTACAATTGTAAGTTTAACTCATTTTATAAGGAATCTAGGAACCAAGAGGCGTATTCAGATGGATGAATTACTGTCGGTCAGTCCCTTTGATCTTGGCATCACAAAATATTTGTCAAATATCTTACCAATTACAGTAGGTGCCCACAACAATTTTTCTCGGGAGAACCAGTACGAACATACGAATATGCTCCTGGATTTTCCTACAAAGCTCCAAGAGGATAGCCTCCAGAACTATATAAAGAACGGGAGTCGGTCAAATCTTAAAAATCCTGACAGAACCTTTATCATTTGAAAAATTGTGTTTTCTTATATCAATTACCATTTATATCCAATAATACTAACTTACTCCTGATGATCCCGTGAGCTCCAAAAGACACAACATACATGTTTTAATTGCTTAATCTACTTTTAACAATTATTGTTAGACTATGCCAGTGCCAGTGACGAAAATAGTACCAAACTTGAGATACCCTTTTGGTTAAAATTCTAATCAAATGTTTTTTCAACATTTGGCAGATCATTTATTTAGTTTAAAAAGTTATTCAGCAGGATTGATATTTTTGCTCCAATAATATCAAAACGTTCATTAAGCACCCTTCTAGGCAAAAACACACTCTCATTTTGACTGAATTGCAATTTTTATAAAACTTTCTTGAGATGAGTAATGTTTATTGTTCTAAACTCACTGAATTATGCATTATAAAATGATCTAAAGGGAAAATGGATGGGATGCCCGTTATTAATTGAGCTTACAGTGTCGTCGATGCTTTTTATTAAATAGGTATTCCGCAATCTGCTATTATTTTCTTCATTTATCATTACCCCTTGTCGAACTTCATTTTAGATAATTGTATTTCTTTCAAGAGGAAAACAACACTTTTCAATGATTTCCAGATCTATTTGGTACAATTTATACAGTCTTCAATTTTTGTATAGCAATATTTTTTCTTCTCATCTCGCAGAACTGCTATACATTTGGTGTATATATTCTAGCCAATCATTTTGACATACAGTAATAATATTTTTTTAAAACTATGGTATCGTTTTCAATCAGAATCCTTGAATGTCGGTTGTATGCATATTGTAGGTTTGTTCGTACAGCCTGTTTGATGACAATCAGCAAACTGACAGTCGGTGACAAGTCATGACCTAGTTTACGCAGTTAGCTGTCACTGATACATCCCTGACTGTATTAATTGCATACATGAGAACATTACGAGTTGGCTGAGGGAGGTGAGACCGATTACCGACAGTTAATCCGCTGTTCGTACAGAATCTTCTGACTGTTTGATGACTGTCAAATCACTCAGCAAATAATTTTCCAGTAAATTTTCAGAGGTCGCAATCAAGTACAATGATTATTCGAATGTAAAATTTTTCAGAATGAGGTAAGACAATTTTGAAAAAGCTGGAGGTTCATTTGCTGTAAACGAGAATGATCTAGGATTTTTCGTCCAACCGTCCAAATGTGCCCAATTTTCCTTTAGAGAGAAAAACATGGACACTTTCTAGAAAAAATAACAGCACCCAAAAATATCAAGTAGGTTTACTCAGTAATTACGATTCAATTCTTATATATAAAGTATGAACATAAATTCGAAGAAATATGAATCCACACATCGAATGACAAGTTGAAGAAGTAAATATATAGTAAGATTTCTTAATAAGCATCTGCAGTCAGTGATTATGTATGAGAAATGTATAAAGTATTGTAAATGACGTTTAATAAAACTCGTATAGTAGGGTTTTTGTTCGCTGTTCCTTTGTCGCCCAGCGTCGAAGTGTATGCACAATCAGTATTTATATATTCTAGCTATGTAAGTCTAACATAAAGCTGATGAAAAATTAACAAAATAGCGAATTCTGGAGATTTTGTGATACATCTTTTTCTCACGGGTGCCCACGGAGAGGGCGTGACTGTTTGTGCTGGGGTGAAAATAATATTTTCCCTATACAGGATATTTAACATAATTCGTGAAAATTTACATATCATCGTCCGGTCTATAGAGGATATTTTAAATTCGACCCTCACCATTGGGATCTCGGAAACTTCATCTGACACGAAGTCACTTAAATAGCTGCAAAGTTGCGTATTCAGATAATCAGCAAAATTTCGCTTAGAAAGTTTTGAAATTGAAAGTACTTCGGGAAAGAGACGAAAAACACGAAATTTCCAAAAATGGTTTTAATTTTCTCCTGACTTTATTTATGGTGGGATTTCAAAATAAATTGCACATAAACTCAGCCACATTTTCTCCTACACGAGACGGTACAATTAGAAATTCAATGTGGCGTTTCGTCTCTTGTACTCCAGCATCAACTTATTGTTTTCTTATAGACGCCATATTGGATTCTCACACACATGAATAGAATTTTTATTCTGATTTAAAAAATGTATGTCATACATTGACATTGCATACCCTTAGCTGTTCCAGATGTTCCTAGGTAAGCCTTGAAATTATTAGATTTCATTTGTTTGCAAACAAATAACAACAGAGTTTGGAAGACTATGAATATCTCTGCTCATTTATGGTTATTATTGTTATTACTATCAGTAAAATTTTCAGTTCGTATTCAGGTTTCACCATATCTTTTTATTTCTTTTTAACTTTCATCCAACAACAAATTTATGGTCAACTGACAATCAATGAACTTCGGGCTTAAAACGCCCATTTAAATGTACAAAATTCCAACAAAGTGTCTGTATGAAAAAACAAATTTGACGATGGAAGTGAAAAGAAGAAATGCCGAATTGAAAATTTGACTACGCCATCTTGCAGACAAGAATAAGTAACAATGACCATATGCAATTTCTTTTGAAATCCCATCTCGAATAGAGTCGGGAAAAATAGAGCGGATAAATCTGGTGAGCGAAACAAACATCTGATAATTTCAAGGCCTACCTAAGAAATTTTAATTTTTTTAAAGTAATCAATGTCAATGAATGACGTATTATGCATTTTTTTAATCAAAATTAAAAACTCTATTTATCTGTGCCAAAATGCAGTATAGCGTTCTTAAGAAATAATAAAGTTGATGCTCGAGGGCAAAAGACGAACCGTCATATAGAAATTCTTATTATGCCTACTTGTAGAGGAGAAAACATTGCACTTTCAATGTGGAATTTATTTTTTCAAATCCCAATATAAATAAAGTCAGGAAAAAATCAGAACACGTTTGGGAAAATTAAGTTTTTCCGTTACTCTACGGAAGTACTTTGAATTTGGAAACCTTCTAAGTGACATTTTGTTGACCACCCCATTTAAGCGACTTCGAATCCCTTACAGTTTCCAAGATCCCAATGCTCAGTGCCAAATTAGACACACTCTGTATATGCACACTCTTACTATAGTGTATTTACACCCAAGATAGAATGGATGGGTGATTGCCAAAAGCAAGGACGGCGTACAGGGCCGCATTCAGGGCTACCTCCGAATGATGGACTACCACCAACGTGTTGTAAAACAAAGATGACAGTATTTAACAGAAACAGAAACTTAACAAATTACCCAAATACACTCAACAACAACAACAGCAACAACCAAGCAAGGTGAATACGAAAACACGAGCACGCAGTGATACACACGACGGACGGTGGCCTGAGTGCAACTCTGCCTGCCCTGCCCCTGCCCCGCGCATTATTCCGCCAGGCGGCCGCTTGAAATTTAATGGCGAATTGACCAATAAGAGGCGTTGTCCCCACCTGTTACCGAGAGATCACGCGCTAACTGTTATTATTTATATCTCATCTTGAATTTGGATTCAGTTTAGAAGAAAGAAGGGAAAATACTACAAAGATTTAACAACGTCTTTGAATAATAAAGGGTGTTATACACTAAAAAGCTAAAACGGCTGAACATAACTACAATTATCAAGATCTGCTGACATAGCTATAAGTTTCACAGAGTTCTCAACATGGACAAAAAGAACTTGGACTACGAAAATACATAGAAGTAAGACTTAAGTCGGGTACTCGTAATTACGCATTTTGCAACTTTAACAAACATTTTCAAAAGATTAGTGATCACAAAAATCGTATTAATTATGGTTCTTCAAAGTTATGTCCTGTATTGTTCGGATTTTTCATAATCTTCATTTTGCCATTACCGCGTCAATAAAAAAAATATTGAGCACAAAGCACTTTGGCGCTGGCTGATATTTAAAATGGAATTTCATGAAAATTTCTTCTGCCACTTGCTCATCTGAAAATGTTACAAAAACTTGTTTCTGTTGAATTGTAGCACTGTTTTGTCTACAAAATTAAGGTTTTTGGGTTTCATTTTTTTACACCGCAGCAGCCGCGCAGGTGAAGCCTACATGCCAAGGCACCGCGGCTGCTTTCAGGAGCTTGAAGAAACTTTGTTATTCCCACTTTTGAACAGCCTAAAGTTAGTAGAATTGGAAAAATAACCTCATGTAAATTGTTACACCCTCGGGACAAAGGAGCGGTCTTATCGGCCAGTTCGGGATGTACGAAAATCGACACGCTTTCGATGGGAGGCCGAAGTGAGGTAGGCACATCGCGGGGCGACACCATGGAAGAGAGCTCTGAGGAGCAAAGCTCGTTGGCATAGCTAGATCGCCTACGGCCCGTTGGTACGAAGGTGTCCTCAGACCGTCCATTAGAGAAAAGTTCATTGAATGCCTCTTGCCAAGCAATTTTGGCCCTCAAGATAGTTCCGACACATTCTGATATCTGTGACTGTCACTGGTTTGCTGGTGTCCTCTGATCTGTCAGAAGGTTCTGTACAAACAGCGGATTAGCTGTCGGCAAACAGTCAGAAACCATACGAACAGGTAACATCTCTCTGATTCTGATTTTGACAGTCACCGACAAGTTACCGGCTACTGTACGAACAGGAATGGAAACTTAAATATTAGCTGTACTAGAAGTTTGTGTATTGTTTTTTTTACTATAAGAATTCGGTTAAAATCAGAATTTTGCAAGTAAAACAGTAGATGTTGATTTAAGATTCATAGCAGACAGATGTCCTGAACGTCAGAGGCCAACAAAGATCATTTACATGGAGCACTTTCCTAGGACGTCGATTGGAAACGTTCTGAAACGAATACTGAGAAGGGATTTATTAGAGGTAGGTTAGGTTTCTTGTGAGTGCATCAATAACCATCCTCCACTGCGACTCTTGTGGCTCACACCTATTTATATTTATTTCTCCTAGTAGCTCCGACCTCCTGAGGAAGCCAATCAACTTGCTTAGAGAAATATCCTTCAGGTCTTCTGCTTGGAGTACTACGCCTCCAAGTATGTTGTACCTGATTCTGACAACTGCAGGGCATCTGCACAATACATGCCTGACCGTGTCATCTACCTCGATGCACAGTGTGCACTCAGCGTCTTCCGCCATGCCCAGCCTGCACATCTAATGACGTAATTTGCAATGACCAGTGTACAGTAGTTTCAGGTCATTTCTGTTCAGCCGTAGCAAAGAGCCTGTTACCATCTTTGTCAAGATTGGTATAGTTGCCTTAGCATGGGTTAACCCCGCTAATCCCTCCCAATATTGATGGATGGATCTTTCTGTCCACCTCTGCAGAGGTTATTTGTTTAGCCGTATTGTATGCGATCCCAATCACTGTCTCAGGCCGTATGAAGGGTGTGCTAGCCTCACTCTTTGCCAGAGTGTCGGCTGTCTCGTTTCCTTCTAGACCTGTGTCCTGGTATCCATATGAGACGCACTACATTTCCCTCCTCTATGCCACCGAGGGCTTCTTTGCAATTCCACATTAATTTCGATGTCGAGTAGGTGGAGTCAAGTGCTTTAAGTGCGGCATGACTATCTGAAAAAATAATTAAAGTTTTGTGCCTCAGTTGTCGCTCTGCGATCATTCTGGCACCCAGTTGTATGGCATATAGCTCTGCCTGGAAGATCGGTGCTCAGGTTCCTAGGATAACAGATTTTTTAATCTTTAGCTTCGGCACGAAGATATCAGCTCCAACACCTGCCTCGGACTTGGAGCTATCTGTGTATGACAGATATCTTTCCTTATCAGGTTAACTTACTGTTCAAACTCATTCCTGTGTGGAATTGTCGCTGAGTAGGGTTTAGCATAACTTGTTATCTTTGGAATTATATCAGAAGGCATTCCCAGAATGTGATGGTTTTGTAAGTCCACCACCATGTCCGTCTCCTCCATTATACCATTTGCCACATGATGTAGTCTATAAGATGTCCTTCTTGCCTCGCCTTCCAGGTATATGTGCAATGGGGGTAAATTAAGAAGGACCTCCATAGCTGCAGTTGGTGTGGTACGAAAGGCACCAGTGATCAACATACAAGCTTCTCTCTGTATTGCTTGGACAGTTCTTTGTGCTGCCTTGCTTCAGCAAGCTACAGATCCATAGGTTATCTTAGCTCTAATAACCATGGTATAAAGCCAAAACAATTGCTTAGGCTTCTTTTCACAGACCCTTCGGCAATTCCATAGCGAGGTCCTTGCCTTCTTAAGGACTGCTTCCAGATGCGAATTCCAGTTTAGTGTTTTATCTAAAATTATTCCTAGATATTTCGCCTGTTTTGCAAACTTACATTTTCACCTTGGATTGTTGGGGGTTTAATCCCATCCAGTTTTCTCTTTCTGGTGAATGGTACCATGACCATTTTTTGCGGGTTGATTAACATTCCTTCCCCTTCACACCAATCCGCTATTGCGGTTAACACCTCCTGGAGTGTAGAGATATGTTCGCCAGATCTCCCTCTGACTAGAACGGCTAGATCGTCTGCATATGCTTGAACCTCGGCCTCCCACAGGCGACGAATGGCAATCAGATTATCTACCAGGGACGATCACAAAAGGGGAGATAAGACCCCTCCCTTCATTAGAGGTAAGCCGTTGCTCATTTTCTTGTGCGTCTGGTCCAGACGTGTCGCCATATTGTTCTTTTTCAGCATCTACCACAGTAAATCATCTGGAATGCAGTAAGGAAACTGCCCAACACTTTTGTATATCTTCTTAAGGCACCTTCTCAGATATTTGCAATTTGTCTTATATAGAAAAATTCGCTAAAGTCAATGAATGGAGAAGGTATAACAAGACCGTTTGTGCATACCACTTTATTGAGATTGAACCCGAGAACGGAGTTACGATTATTCGTTCCCCATCCCGGACAAACGCAGTGCCCCTGCACACATGAAGTGACTAATAGCGGAGCATTAATTTTATTGTCCATTAGTTGCATTTTCAGGCAGTGCCGTTTTAAATTATGAATATCAATAACAGACAACCTCGAAATAGTATGCCCACGTCAAGTGGGTTGTCACCCTATAGTTAAGTTACAAGCATAAATTAGAAATACTCGAACATTGGTGAAAACATTTTTGTAGCTAAAGAGCATATCGTCGCACGTACAGGCGTAAATGACAAATAATCTAAAATCGAGTTACGCCGTAATTTCACATACTTTTTGGTAGTCTCTTACTTCACGTAGTGACGTAGCTGTACATCAGTTCGCTGCTAAGAATTAAAATTTTCAGAAAATTGCCTAAGTTATAAAATTCCGAAAACAATTTTCACGTACCGGCTTAAATAGATTTACGCCTCTGCGTTAAAACTGGTTCTACATCACTTTAGTCTAACAAAAAGAAACAGCAACGTTCAGACTGAAAAATCAGTATGTCATTTTCAATCTCATTTATTGGTGATTTTCGTTCTCTAGCTCTCCTGTAAAATTTGTAAAATGTTAGTGACGCCGGTACGTGCGGAGACCGACGATATGTCTGAGCTAACACAGTTAGTTACACAGTACACAGTTCGCTGCATGTAGTTTCAGTGTAATCCACCAAAAACCGTAAAATGAACTAAAAATTAACTAAAGATTGGGGGTTGTGTTAACGGCTCTTATGAGTACTTCATAACCCTAAAATATAAATCACGGCCTTTCAAAGTGGCAAATTGAGAGGCGTCAAGTCTTAGCATTTTTGTATATTGATATGCTTATAACTCAACAACGAATCACCAACCCGTTATAATATCTTATATCAATCCTCTGTTTTTAGCAGGATCTGTCTTGTAATAAAATAAGAGACATGCAGTTAAATAAAAATGTTGACAATATTTTTAATACAAAGATCCACAGACTAATGTCACAGCATCAGTATTTGCTGTGATCCATCAGAATTTATCATGTAATTTGACATTCATTGATCGTATATACGAGCCCCTTGCTACTTCAGTTGGCCCAACTATTGAAATCTTAGTTTTTTTTCTTATCAAACACAAATAATAAAAATGTAGCAGGGTGTTATAGTTTTAAAATATTAACAATGAATATATGTATATATATATATATATATATAGTAAAAAACACCAACTTTATCACTCCCTAATCAAATTTGCAGCATAAAAATAACACATGTTGCAATTACAGCATATTGTTAGACTTATCGCGGTACAGTGTTAGAAATATTGTTAGAAGATACAACGTAACTGGTTCAGTTAATATTAAGCCACGATATGTGAAAAAAGTAATATCACAAATGCCGACCGAAGAGCATTAAGAAGAATAATCGTGAAAAACAGGCGTGCCAATTATTTACAATTAAGTGCTCTGTGGAGTGACGCTGTTGGAAGGAGAATTTCGAGGTTCACAACTCATAGAGAGGCCCACAAACTGGGATTTAACACTTGCAAGGTATGTTTTCTTATAAAAAAAAGTGAAGTGAAAACCCTAAAGTTGCACAACTTGTTTATAGGCCAAAGAAAAGCCACTATTAACTCCACTGCAAAAGAAAAATCGGCTTAGATGGGCTAAAGAAAAAAAAGACAAATGCACACCTTAACAATGGTATGAAATACAATGGAGTGTATATGGTCTGGGGCAGTATGTCATCAAAAGGAGTAGGAAAATTTCATTTTATTTATGGAAATGTGGATACAAACAAATATTTGGCAATTTTTGAAGAATCGCTTTTACCTGTGATGGAAGAATGTTTGACATCCGGCCAAGATTTTGTGTTTCAGCAAGATGGTGCAGCGTGCCATACCTCAAAAACGGCTATAAAATAGATGGAATAAAATAATGTACCACTTTTGAAATGGGTTTCTAGCCGTCCAGATCTGTCACCTATTGAAGCTTTGTGGCACGACATGAAAAAGGTTCTACGACAACATCCTGCGAATACAATCACCGAACTGAGACAAAAGCTTCGAGGAATATGGGATTGTTTTACACCAAATTTTTGCCAAAACTTGGTTAACACTATGCCCCAAAGAATTGCAGCCGTAATAAAAAATAAAGGTGATGTTACCCAATGGTAATCTTTCAATTGTTGCTTTGTTATCTTCGCGCATTTATTCGCACATTGTTTATTTGTTCAGATGTTCTATTAGTTATAGGTCTAAGTGATTTCAAATATGTATTTTTTACGACAACATTGTATCTAAAATGTTTTGAGAAAATAAATTGTTTTAGAAGTAAATAGTTTCGTCATTTTTAGTTTATAAAGGCATATTTTGGTACAAATCTTGAAGTGGGCTAACTGAAGAAGGAAGGGGCTCATATATCGTGGTCATATCGCAGAATTCACCTTTTCATGAAATGATCGAGCATTCCATGAAATGGTCGCATTTCGTGAAATGGCCAAAGCTAAATTTGACCATATCGTCAACGTTTAACGATTTGGTTATATACGATTCATCGTATCATGTCCGTAGAACATTTAATAAAAATGCAGAATATGTTACGCACTCGTTTATTTTTCTTTTTCCTTTAATCTAGTTTTCGTTCTCATTTGGTAGCGAGTTATTAGAATTTTCAATTAAATATCCTACAACTTCATCAAACATGCTTGACCACATCGTTAAATATTTGCTTTATCATAACATTAAACGATTTGTTGTGACTGATCTGGTCAACACATATCATGCTCTGGCCAACAGACAATGATACATTTCATGAAATGCAATCATTTCATCAAATGCTCGATGATTTATGGAGTGGTCAATTTTACGATATGGCCACAAGAAATCCAGGACGTCAGTTATTACTAATATATAATGTTACGTGGATGTCCATTTATGCTATATTTCAAAGTTCAATCAAACTAGATGTGGTAACCCAAAATAGTTAGTAATG